GGGGGGGGGGGGGGGGGGGATGTTCATACACTGGATTTGCATTTTGAATGCATGTTTTGTGTTGAAGTCAGGATTTCTTTTTCAACACTTGGTATGGATGAGGCAAGATCCAAAATCACTCCTGGGTAACACTTCTTCACAGGCCGAGGCAGAGGGAAGAGGTTTAGCAGCACACAAACATGCTGGGGCTGACATTCCTATTAGTCTGCCTCAAAAACATCAAGACAGGCACTTTACTACCAGATACAAAGCACCACTTCTAATAGCAAGCAATGATGGCTCCTTTACAAATAACATTTATTTTTCCATAATTACACCTTGAACCATAATTTGACATCACCAAAAGAAACTGACACTGCCATAGCATTGCCTCTTTGGAAAGCTTATAGAAAAAAAAATGATTTAAACTTTTTAAATGGAACATGCTCCTGAGCCACCATGCTTTTTCACTTCCAGCAAAGCTAATTTTTAACCCATGCTAAATTCAAACAATTTTAGCTGGAAACCCTTAAATTTTAAGCAAATAATTGGCGCCCCTGGTGATTCTGGCAGGACTGCTAGGTGTATTTTCTGCAGTCAGTCTCCCCAGGAGATGCAACATGCTCATGTCAGTATGAGAACCCAAAATTGATATGAAGAAATCCTTTGGTTTTGTGTCTTTCAACACTTCTGCTAGTTTATTCAAGTTCTTTCTCAAGTTGCTACACTTAGGGGAATTAGAAGCACTCTGAAGAAAATCCTGCAAGAGCTTGCAAGCGCACATTGCACAAACATCCTGAAAAACAGGCGAGTTGTGCTGTTGTGAGACGCCGCATTGGTTCCACAAGGACGACTAAGCCAAGTCACAGTAACATTTTGTTGCACAACCCCCTAAATGCAAACAATGCAAAAGCACCAAATATTTAAAAGAATAACCAGGAGGACTTGGAGGGGCAGGGAAACCGCCTGTCAGCGTTTGAAGCGATGCCGAACACAGCGAACATGCGTCTTCAGCCAGAGCAGCCTCCACATGGCGGCTGCCAGGCAACGCTGCAGCCTCCAGCTCTTTGACTGCATTTCATGTAGTCAAATGCAATTTTCAGTTCCAAAAGTGCTGTGGCACCCAAGAAAATGGGCCCTGGGAAATGTGAAACACATGACTCACAAGCATCTGCTTTTTCACCACTCGAGACCTGTAAAGCCTGCTGTGCTCAACGGGAGGAGCACAAACACCCTGGGCCTGGCTGATGTGTGTAAATGAAGCCTTTTAAAAGTCTGCACTGAAAAGAGCCAAAGGAGTCATATTTCCAATACAGACGGGTTCAAAAGCTCCGACATTTAGCAGTATGTACTGGCTACCAAACAGTATCTATTTCACAGCACGTTTCAAGGTCTCTAACCATTCCTAAAGGCAACGAGGATGTGCTTGCTGCAACAGCCGCTATTGGCCGTTTGTACCAACATCAGGGAGAAGACACAGCCACGGGTGTAGAGAATCAGGCAGCTGACCAGAATCGGGCTATCTGATTCCCTCTTTAGACCTACTGTGCTTCTGCTAGCAATTTTTTAATAATTCACTTTTTCTCCCTACCAGGGCACTGCTCTGGATCAGAGATGGCCTAGGGCCCCAACGCTTTAGACTCTAGTATGAAAATCTCAGCTTAATTTAATGCGTGCGAGTGGTACACTCCCATGAATTACAACTGTAGAGATGCAGGCAGGTCCCTGAAATAGCAACACTTCGGATACACATTGTGAAAGCCAGGATATTTACTATCACACTTTGGTTTTGAGCTGCCTCTGCAGAAAACCATGATTAGGGAACTTGTGGACACAATTTTAGCGTTGCCAGTGCTAAAAAGTTTATAATAGCTGTGCTTGAATTCACTATGCAACAGTATTTATAACAAATCTGTAAATATGTTTCTGTGGATATCGATGAATACACACGTTATGTATTATATGCACATATATATATTTATCCACAGAATGCTACAGTCGGCATTTCTCAAAGTTTGTGTTTCACTTTGTGATCTGCTCAGTCTTAGGGCAGATCCACTGATCTGCATTAAGACTTGTAAGGCTGGTGGCTCTCTGGCGGCTCCAGACCAACTTTTTGAAGCTTTTGATACAAATTGATTCAATCCAGGTCAGCAGTGGTCAGAGAAGCAGCCACAGAAACCAGTCCCAATGAGTAATGTTTAGGTTTTCCATTCATTTAATGTGCTAATCTGCCCGCCTCGTGGACTTTGGCCATGCTGGATGACAGAGCTCAGCATGAGACACTCGGCGCACTGAGTATCCTGAAAGGGCAAAACAAGCAACTTTCCTCAAGAGCAGGTTTGGTTTATTTTTTCTCTATAAAGTGTGAATTCTGGGATGGTGCTTGCCACCATATCCATGCCCTCTTGTAAGCCTGCCAGAAAAACATGCATGTTTGCATTCAGCATGTCACACAGCACAAGTTAGAGTGTGCATGTCAAATGTTATAAACCAAAATCTGTCTTGTTCTCCTGGAAGGTGAAATGAAAGATGATTTCCAAGAAGAATCACCATTCAGTAAGGACATTGGGCATTAAACATGCTAAGAATCTCTAAATGCATAACAAATACATCGCCCAACTAAAAAAAAAGAAAAAGTGATCCATATCCTTTGATTTCTTGAAGCACATTACAAGACAAATTAGAACACTTGTTTTTTTAAATGTCTGCTAAAACACTTGAGATAAAACAAGTCCAGTGATTGAGATACATTAGCGAAACAAACCTCAAGTTGAATCTCCCTCCGCTTCCTGTCACAGCTCTGACTTCCCAAGTTTCTAAGGGTTTAATTTGGGACAGTTCCATGACGGATTTACTTACTGATTTACTTCTGGATCAGGTTTTAACCCCAATTACCCCTCATTTACTTGGGCTGCAAAAGGAGAACCACTCTTCGTTAGGCCCCACAGACTGCTGCTTTGTAACCTGATCCCAAATCCCCTGCACATTGTATCTTGACATTTGGAATAAAGTTGGACAGATACATTCAACGGACAACTCATTACAATACCTTTGGCCATAGAGATTTAAGAAGAGGGGGAAACTCTGCTTCTTTCACCAATTCTTCATCCTGCCTGCTGCCGTAAATAGATCAACAGCAATGCGACAGTCAGGAGTCCTTACAAATTTAAGTACTCACACAAGCCTCTGGTCCTCACACTCCTGCCAACTGTTCGATTTTGACCAGGACTTACAGCAGACTTTTTTACCCATTCCCACCTGTTCCCAGTCCAGACTGTTTCCAGGATGGGAACGGGTTTGTGATTTGAGATTAAATTCTTGCTAGAAGGGGCTCTGGGACTGACACAGCACCGAGGAGCACCCCTCTGTCATGGGTGAGAACAGGAAGATGTCTGTCTCGGCAGATGAGCTCCCCTCTTGGCCTGGACTGTGTTGCAACTGCAGCATCCACCAGTAAATGCTCTAGAGAAGATGGAGGTTAAATGTAGGGGGGGAGGTGAAGGCAAAATAAAAGATGATTCTGAGAGCAAAGGGAGAACAAATGACCTTTTCTTTCTGAAAAAAAAAAGATTCTCGCTGATGAAAGAAAAGGAAAGCCCATGTTTAAGACACTTCAGAAGCATCAGGTGGTGAGCTATTCTGGACAGAGAAAGATAGCAAGATAGATTTTAGCCTGCCACCCTCTTCTTCTCAAGGAATAGGGGAGAAAACCAGCTGGAAGGGACTTTCTACAGCATAATTCCAGTAAGCAGCTAAGCTTCCAGGTATTCTCTGAAATCCCAGGAATTTCTGAACCCAGGAGGTACTGGGAAACCACATGATCTCAATGGGTAAGATTTGGGCAGACCCAGAACTGCTCTAGGAATAATTTCAAAATGAACAGGGTATTGGGCAGAGATGTCTCAGAGTGGCTGTTACATTTGCGTTGATTGCCTCATCCAAACCCAGCAGGTACTTGTCTTTATGCCTTTGGATCTTGGAGGAGGTTTGTTTCAGTTTGTGCTGGGATTCTCGAGTCCTGAGCTGTGTCTGTAACTCAGATTCACTGTGTTTCTTAGGGAAATTTATTTAAGCTCCATGCAGACCTTATTTGTACAATAAAAATAATTCTGACTTACTTCACAAGGGGAGTGGGAGGATTAATTAACAATTGTGAGGCACTACAGAAGTGCTAAACATTATTAACAACTCCCAAGTTTTCTTCTTTTGGAAACAGTGGCCATTTCTTCCCATAATGTTTTAAACAGTTGCTGCTCAGGGAGCTTAGATTGCAGATTCCTGGCCTGTGGTTTGTCCATAAATCACAGACCTGGAGCCTACCCAAGACACTCTCGATAGTCTCAGCAGGAAGTCTGGACGAGAGAAAACTCTGTTCTCGATCTGGCCCAGTGAACTACTTTATGGGCCAGTCCAGTTTCAAGGTCCTGAGCCAGACGTGAGAGGGATTCTGTCCAAGTTTAAAAGCACAAGGTCTCAGGAATGTCCTTTCAAACTGGATTTCACTGCCTATAAATATTTTCCATCTTCTACTCTGGAGGATATAGGTTTGACTCCACAGCTGATGAGCCTGGGCAGAGCAGGAGAGAAGGCCATGCTGTTTATCACCAACAGTT